TGAAAAGTTAGAACTACGTCAGATCACAACTAACGCGTCGCTATGGTAACAAATGCGTTTGTTGTAAGAAAAAATCCTCGTTTAGGAACCAGAACAGTTGGCAGTTGGCAGTTGCATTTGTTACCATAGCGACGCGTTAGCTGTGGCAGAATTTCGGTTCCAATACCGATTTCTTTGTTCCCGCAACTAAAAAATTATTTGTTATGTCTATGTTAACAAAATCGTTTGTTGTGGGAGCAAATTATTTTTTACCGTGTTGCCGACCCTCGTGTATGACGTCAGGAAACGCAAATGCCCAATCAGACTTGCCGTCACCCGTGGAAAGACCGTCAGTTGCCCCTGCTGTTGCATCATAGTCGAGACAGATAGACTATGTGGATGAGTAGGATCAGTATGAGAGCACAGTATAAAGGGAGGGAGGGAGGAGGGTACGACGCTCTCATACTGATCATACTCATCCACATATCTATCTGCCTATCCGTCTCAATTGTGATACAACAGAAGGGGCGTGCTGGGTGTTGGCCGGGAGGCGAGAACGAGTAACAGCGTGGTGACGCTGAGACGTTGAGCCTATTGGCTAGCGACCGCATGTTTTGTATGTTTATTCTAGCTTATCAGTTTATGGTTACGGTGGTTCAGTGTGTAATAAAAGAGTAAGTACCACAGTATGGTACCACAGGTTTATTGAGATCTTGCCCTATCGGTTCGAAACAGACACTCTGCATTGATGAGTAGGCCTACCTATGAGAAGTTACACGGCGAGAGATGACCTGACCCTGATGACTGCCGACCAAGCGCCCCGGGAGAGACCGGCTCGGCCCAGGGCTGCAGAGCCACCCTGGCCTCGTGTAAAGTTAAGAACGCGTGAGCGTTCACGTGATGTGAGATCTCGCGTAAGAGATGTGCGGGTGCGGTGCCTTATAGTAAGCGAAATTGCCAATAGTTTTGAAGAATTACAATCTCCGTAAACTCCCCTTTCCAAAAAATTATAATTTTGTCAATTTTTAGGTCATTTGGCTTAGTAAGTTAGACACGCCTGAGCGCTCACGTATGAGATGAGTGGTGGAGTGCGAAATAAGAGGGGCCCTATACTAAGCCAAATGACCTGGAAATTGACAAACCCATACATATTTGGAAAGAGGAGAGTACAAAGATTGTAATTCTTCAAAAATATTGGCAAATTTCGCTTAGTATAAGGTGCCGCACATCTCTCACATGAGCGCATAAGGCGCGAAAATATGGAAGCAGGAGGACGTGCGTCGTGCTCCATGACATAACTGGCCTCTAAAAAAATTCTAGACCCCGAGAATAAAGGGATAGAACAAAGATCAATTCTTTAAAATAGTAAACATTTCAATAAACAAAATGAATGACGTTAAGATAAATACAAGTATAAATTAAAGAAAAGCAAAAACGCGTAGACGAGCCAAAAGGATGGCAATTAGAAAAGCTGAACTAATATGACTATCAGTTCTCAACGCGGATGATTCTTGACGTTTCGGACGCAAAATTGGAAAATAAAAATAAATACATGGAATCCTTAATGAGATGTCTGTTTGGTAACCGGGTACAACTAGACTGCTCAGACGACCGTTTCGGCATGAAGCATGCACTGAGCGGATCGTAGACAGATGTGTTTGGAACAGTCTAATTCTGGAACTCACAACAACCGAAAGCAGCAGCCGTTTTAGTACATAATTCATCTGGTCCTTGTGCTCAAGGATGGCTGTTGCGAGTTGAGTGATAACATTATGGTATGTTTTCACGCCCTTGCGAATGGCTGCAATAGCAGATTTAATTTTAACAGCATTAATTTGAGTTGTACTGACAATTTCCGATTGAGACAGTTGCAAAGCATTGAAAGCTGTGCCCAGCTTGTTGACAGATATAAAAACTTAGTCTAGTGAGCGTTCTGTTGCTATTCCTTCCAACCACCTACGGAACTGGCCAAGGAATGGAAGCAGGGAACGGCGTGGCTTCAGCGGATACTTTTTCTTTAAAGAACAATACTTTGCCTAATTCTACAAAAATGCTGGTGCTCGAATTGTCAAGTTGATCAAATACATAGCAATATTCTGGCCAATTTGGAAGCATTGTTACACTGTGAAACGGTGTACTTGCGGTGACTTCTCAATTGTCGTATTGGGCAAGTTGATATGTGAAATGAAACGTCAAAGTAACCATGTCGCGACGAGATGGTCATTCACACTGAAGAGTTTTGTCTCTGTGTGTCTCTTCTTACTGAGTGGTTCGACTGGGTTCGTGTGTATTTGGATTTGCAGGTATCAAGGTAAGATACAAGTTGCACTTTTAACACGTGTATTCAAAGAAGACACTTACGCATATCACTACGACGTATGCCTGCAGAAGTGGCGTATCTGTGAAGAGGCGCGCAACACTGGCGGATCTGCACCGGCCCGGCCAACCCTGGTGGATCTGCGCCGGCCCGGCCAACCCTGGCGTATCTGCTTTCCGGTAGATCTGGTCGCAGTCAACTTTGGAGGCGTATTGCTCATTGTAGGTATATCGTATAGTGTTGAGTGATATCAAAACTCAATCACGAGGATATAAACATTGACATCAGTCAATACTGTACGACATACCCACGGTGAGCAGTAGGCATTCGAAGTTGACTGAGCAGATCAGCTGAAATGCAGATACGCCTGTGATGACCGTCTCTTCCCAGATCCGCCAGTGTTGGGCGGGCCGGCTCAGATTCGCCAGTGTAGCGCGCCTCTTCACAGATACGCCACTTCTGCAGGCACACGTCGACTAATTCACGGGCTGAGGTGTGGCTTGGAGAATCTCCCACCAGCGAATGGCCACGAGCCCGTCCGCGGAGAGATTTGGAACCTTCTGGCAGGTCGAGGCGGGGCTGGGAGGTGTCTTGTTTGTCACCTCCAGCCCCAGGCTGCCACACCATCGGCGTGAGTCCCCCCCTCCCCCCACCCCCCACCCCGGGTCCGTGCTGCGTATTTTTCCCCAAATGCCTAATCAGAAAGATCTCCCGAACCACATCTCACGTACACGGAAAAAAATAAGTAAGCTGTGATAGCTAATGTGTTAGCTGCCAGCGTGACAAGCAATGCGTTAGCTGTGAGAGCTAATCTCTGACTGTGAGAGCCAAGCGATGTTTACTATAGCAGATAATCACGTCAGCTGTAAAAACTAATGCGGGAGAAAGTTTTTATAAGATGTTAAAACTTAAATTTTTGCAGAGTTGTTCCATTTACGTTGTTAAGGGTGCGTCCTTCCTCACTTCTACTGCCCTTAACAAGGAATTAGAACCGACCCGAGTCGGTGTTGAACCCTCGCCCCTCGGCGCTGCGCTCCGACTTGGAGGCACTGGTCGAACACCTTGCTTGTCACGCTGACAGCAAACACGTTAGTTGTCCTAGCAAACGTTGTGCTGGAATAGATAACATATTTTTTTCCGTGTAAGCACCCAAGCCAACACTTAGTCTTACACCGCGACCAGCCGACTGCCCGCACGTCACGCGTTTACATAATACACGATATCGCAGAACCTTGTACTGCCAGCGCTTTGGCACGCTGAATTGCACGGTGTCGCCTAGCCCTACGCTTTGCAGCGGAGCTTAGCTTGTAGACACGGTGCTGTGAATGGTTATATTGTTTGGCGAGCAGTAATTTCTCCAAGCGTGTTCGTTCCTCACTTTCTTGCTGGGCCCTATCAAGAGCGTTCACGAGTGCGTCTGTCGCGTATTTTACCATTGTTTGAGCACGCTTGTCAACTGTAGAGAGTAGTTCAAATGTAAAGTCAAGAAAATCATGAAGCATACGTGAAGTCTGTCCAGGTGTATGTTTAACTGAATTTAGCGTGAAAAAACGGATGAATTTTGAGACCTTGTTTACCATCTTTTCGATTTCTGAAACGGAAGCTATTACAGGGAGGCGGCCCTTTAACCAACTATCCAGTCCCGTGTCCCGTGCCAATTCAACCGAGTCACTCATTCCATTCCAGGTACAAGCGGTAGACATATTACCGTGTTACCGACTGGCGAGGTGAGGAGACCTCAAACTGCTAGACCGGTGCTGTAGGCTACCTCCGAACGAGCGTCGTGAATTCGAAATCTATAAATAGAATTTTAATTAAGGAGAAGCTATGTGTGAACATGCCAAGATGGTAAGTGAGAGAGAATTGATGATTTTCTAATCGTTTTATTGAGTTTCTATACAATAGTGCTATTATTTGCCTAATTTCTTGTGTTATTTGAGAGATCTTAATTTACCAGTTAATTGTTCTATATTTGGACCCTACCCGAAAATGAGCTGGGAGAAGAGAGCACACGGAAAAAAAAAGTTAGCTGCCCCAGCTTAACATTAGGTATGCGAGCCAAAAGTTAGCTGCCTGGAGGACAGACAAGAAAATTAGGAACAGTAGCTTATAATTCGGTGCGTGAGCTAATCTGTGACTGTCGCAGATAAAGCGTTCCCTGTAGTAGCCCAACTATATTAGTTGTCCGAACGAATGCGAAATACCATTCGCTCATACAACTGATGTAGTTGGGCCACTACAGGGAACGCTTTATCTGCGAAAGTCACAGATTAGCTCACGCACCGAATTAATAAGCTACTGTTCCTAATTTTCTTGTCTGTCCTCCAGGCAGCTAACTTTTGGCTCGCATACCTAATGTTAAGCTGGAGCAGGTAACTTTTTTTTCCGTGCAAGGAGTTATGTTTTTCTTCAATGCAAGTCGAGAATTAGTAAAATATACTGCACTCGGATAATCAGTATAATAAGGCCCGATTATGAGGCGTTCGTCACACATTTTAAAGGCTACCATTGTGTAGTCCTTCGATTCCGCTAACGGAAGGTAACACGTGATTGTCGTTGGGGGTTGACGAAGGGTTGCCAGGAATGTTAATGCTTCCTCAACCTCCTCTGCTGTCTCCCAATCTCAGTGAAAATGTTGCAGGCAATAAAAGTTTTTACCCCCTCTCCCCTCTCCTCCCCCCCCCCCTCACCCTACCGTCGAAGGGGTCTATTTGCTGGTGGAGAACCAGTCATAGATAAAGACATTTTCCATATTTGTATATGCACACTCCCCAGTTCCAACTTCAGGGACACGTATTAGCAGAATCGCCGCTATTGAGAGCACTGCTAAATCTATGTCTTGCGCATTCGGATTTGTAATGAATTCTAACAACTCTGTATCTTTGGAGGCTTCCGGTTGCATCAGCATGGGGATAGCCCTTTCCTTAATTTTACAAGTTAATAGCATCTGAAGGTGAACTGGCAGGTGCAGGGAGTCAAGGCAATACAAGGCGTCAGATGAGCAGAGGGCGGCAGCGGCGATTGTTTGCAATGACGATGGACACATGATGGGTTCAATTTTGTCCAATCACTAAGTCTGAAAGACAGAGACAAATCAATAAAGATAAAAAAATAGAATTAAGCAGAACTTTTGTTTTTCTTGTGAATGCTGCTATTTTTTTATAGTGCAGAAGGCTTTTAATTTGACAACTAGGTAGCACGAATGTAATATGATATTCCTAGGGGAACTTCAACAATAAACCCGTCATTCGTTGCAAGTTCTGTAAGAAGGCGTTGCCAACCTGGTGGCGCAAGGAGCTGCTTATTTTTCTCGGCCTGAGGGTATTTGCTAGGGTGCTGAATAACAGAAACAGCTATTAGTTTTAGGCTAGGTATGACAGAAACAGAGGCTAGGGTATTAGCTGCATGCATGCGGTCTTCCCAACTTGAAAGGTGGAAACGGAATGTCTCTAGAGCTTTCATGCACGTTAGATTAAGATGGCGTGGTTCAAGGGTGAGCCCATTCCATTGTTGCAGACTCATGAAATCACATTTTTCTACTAGATGTGAGCCGTGTGCCACTAGAACTTGCTGGAGTGGTATATCAAGCCCACAACCTAGCAAGGTTTGCAACAATCTTGGGCAGATGCACCGAGTTTGGATTTTGGGGTTAGTGAGTTCTTGAAAAAAAGCTTTTAGCTCCGCTCTCGCACAGCTATGCGTATACGCCGGCGGGCTGACAGAGGGTAGACTACTAAGCCCAACATGTCCTATCCACAATATTCTTCTGGAGAAGCGCATCAGGCGGACCGCCTCGACCGCCTGCCTCCTGAGTTTTAGACTTGACAGTAACGCATTTAGCGGTGAAACCGGCCATGACCAAAGCTGATGTGAAATGGAAGGAGGCGAGTTCTCAAAATAGCGCAGAACCGCCCTTCTGTTCGTAGAACATGTTTGGCCAAAACTAATTTTGCTCTGATCATCCAAATATTGAATAGTTTTCCATTTGATTGGAAAACTCAGGTTAACTAAAGGGGAAGACTGAATTGACATTTCAGTGAAACTATCAGCAGTTTCGCGATCAAGAACAAGGCAAAGGGGTTCCTCAGGCGTCGGCCATCTTTGATTAGACAACATAAATTTTTTCATGACTTACAGTTGAAGATTACTCACGCCCTGGGCACGGGAAGCTAACAAAAGAGAGGAGGGTAGGTCAGTTACTTGACATTCCGAAGCGCTCAGAAAAATCCCATAAAATTAGAATAGTATACAGTGGAGCGTTTGGCTTTTGTCCGAGAACATTATTAGAGACCGACCACTCAATAGGAAGTAATTCGCAAGCCTCATGCCATAGCTTCGTATCAAGTATTCAAATATGCGTTTGACGAACTACTTGTTTGGCAGAATATACACTGTACACTGTAACAAATAAGAACAATAAGCGTCATTTCAATGAGAAACTGTGACCATCAGTAGAGGCATTGTATGTAAGAAATAGAGGTGTACTTACTGCGGCTTAGGATTGTTGCTATTAATTTGATCTCAGGCCAGTACTGTTCTATAAATCCTGGTGCAAACATGCACACTCCCAGCGCAATTAAGCTTAGGATGAACTGGGCCATGCCGGCCAACTGGATAGTCTCACTGTGAATAGAGAAATATGTTAATGACATGTAACGATCCTGTGCAATGTTTTTAATAAAATGACGGGAATGCCTGTGACAATCAGATCACCGAAGTGAGAGTAGAGTATCTGTTTATTGTGGAGTAATATGCAAACTACCTCGTGCCTGTCTGTGTGACTTGAAATTTTAAGGGTATCTTAAGGTTCTCGCCTAGAAAACGAAACGTCTACGGCAAATCCTGGCAAACACCCCTTCGGGAGTGAATGATTGGCTGAGCGTTAGCGGAGCCCTATCCTATACTCCGCACTGACCAATAAAGCTTCATTCTGTTCGTCTGTTTGTTTGTCTGTATGCACGATAACACGATAAGGAATAGACGGTTCCCGCTGTGTCTATTTCAAGAAGAATTAAGGAAATAGTCACTGGAAACAGTTCCAAAATTACGGTAAAAACTAGTGCAAATGAACCTTCATAGTTAGAATGGACTTACGCGAGGACAGTTATGTTAAAATGAACTGTTAAATAGGAAAAATATGGGGACTTTCATACTGGTTCCAGTCCTGATTTCCTTACTTCTTCTCGGAACGCGCAGAGCGGGAACCCTCTATTGAGGTAGTGATCTGAGAATTTCAGGGTGCGACTGCCCTAGTGACAGGTCCGGAAACTTCGTCCACGTCAGGCAATGAGCGTCAGGGAGGAAACAGTTCAGAAAGCATTACTGTTCTTCTTTGGATCCGGTTTAAACTGGGTAAAATACCCCATTTAGTTAGTGATCTCGAAATTTTAGGGTTGTTCGGTATCATTAAAAAACAGAGCGACTTCAAAGATAAGCATTCTAGCTCAAAAATTGGATTAAAAAAATAATAGATGGTACCGGCAGAGCCCGTTTAAAGAAGAATTAATGCAATCACCACCGGAAACAGTTCTAAAATAATGGCTTAAATCAGTGAAAACTTAAATTGACAGATACTAGAGATTTAATCGAAGTCATTCACGTCGAACTGCACAGTCAAATGACAAAAATAAGTGCACTTTTGGAACTGGTTCCGGTCCCGACTTCTTCATTTCTTCTCAAAAAGCGCACTGTCGGAACGGTCTATTGGAAAACCAAAGGTCACAAAATATAATTTTTAAAGAAAATCTTTTAAATAGTTCTCTAAGATCAACATCTGAAAGTAAAGCCTCTGACAAAATTTTCGTCCGTGTGCTGTGTGCATGCTCTATTAGGTATAATCTTAAACGAGGACTTCGTCCGCGTCAGCCATTGAGCGTCAAGGAGGAAACCAGAGATAACTACAGTTATCTCTGAGGAAACAGTTCAGGAAGCATTACCGTTCTTTTTTGGATCTGGTTTGAACTGGGTGAAATACCATATTTTTATCTCATTTTGCCGAGATGAAGCATTCCAATAGGGTATTCCAATGGAGCGCGGAGCGGAAGCAAGAAGAACAAAAGCGGAAGGTGGAGAGGCGCTGTTTTGGTGGTGTATTCTTGCTGAGTATTACTATGGATACGGTGGTTCTAGTGGTTCAGTATTGGAATGATAGAATAGGTTTCGGTACCACAGG